CCCCAAAACCCCAAAACCCCAAAACCCCAAAACCCCAAAACCCCGGAACGATTATAAAATATTGAAAATGGGTTGAATGAGCTGACTCGAGAAAAGACCTGGAGATAGAGGTGGCGTTGAGTCTTCCTCCTTGTCGAAACATCCCAGATTCTCGCAGAAGGACGAAGGGTAAGTACCTCAATGCAATATTGGAGCATACAGACAGGAAGAGGATAACTCGAAAATTTTCTTATAGAATATCTTGGTGGTCTCCTTTGTCGCTTTTAGGTGTAATGATTTCAATTTCTCCATCCAGAAGAGTGCTTCTTCCTGACTCACCTATTCTTCTAGAAAAATACCAGAAACAAACGAAACAAATGAAATCAGTGAACTGAAAGAAAGAGTTAAGAAGGAAAATGAAATCGGTAGATCTTTCTTCCTAAGCTTAAAATTTGAAAGAGCAGCTGCAGCTTATAAAAATGCTCTGAGGATACACTCTGGGCTAAGCACTAAACTGATCTTGTTGTATCCTTATGTAAGCTATCACTTTGAATGATTTAAACTTGAAAATAGAAGGACTACAAGAAACTTAGTGCGATCATAAACTCCAATATGGCAAGATGTTACTTAAACATGATGGAATATGAAAAGGGTCTAAAGTACTGAGAAAAGGCTATAACTGAAGACTATGAGTACATCAAAGGTATTGTAGTCCCATAACTTGTTTAGCTTATGTAATTAAGGGAGATATCCTTATGAACCTGGCAAGTTCTAGCAGAGATTTTGACCAAGCCCATGAAGCTAGAGAGTAAAATGATTGGTATATTTATAGGTGATTTCGAAGATGTATGATTTTGTGAGAAAGACTCAACAAAGATAAACACTTTACATCACAAATCGAAGAGAAGGTTAACTATTCAGAACAGCTATGCAAAGTTCTAGGAGCTGGATTCTGCATAAAGTCCCTTCAATCAACCAAGGGGAAGTTTGAAGCAATTTTCAAGAAGTTAATTGATAAAAAGCCATCAGAAGAGCAAGAAAAAATAGAGGAATATAAAGAATTTCTGTTCAAAAGGATCAAAAATCGTGAGGAAGAGCTCGAAAGTATCCAAAAAACCACTGATTGATCTCCTATTGGAATTATAAATAACGTACCCGAGCATCTCGAATGTAGGATCACTCTGGACTTGATTGACAACCCGTATTGCACTTCTTCAGGGCACTCATACTCTAAAGATCCTTTACTGACTCATATCAGGTTAAATGAGGATGATCCGATGACTCGTGAATACATTTGCAAGTTTAAGCCAGGTTTGATAGAGAATAAAGGTAGCAATTAATGTTAAACTTTAGCATTGGCCCGAGCAGTAGAAGATTTTAAGGACAAAAATAATCTGTATTAACAGTTAGGTCATTTTGGGCTTTTGGGGCGGTCATGAGGGGTTCGAGGTCAGAGTAATAAGACTCGGCTTTGAAAATTGATAGGTGTTGAAGGAGGTCAGGGAAGGAGGGAGTTGGATTTAGTGCCTCTTATTGGGATTCTCGATAATGGAATGTCAATGAGGGCATTTGGTGATAGCTGCAGGGTCTTCGTCTGAGAGAGGCTCGAGTCACTCTAAATGGCAATTTCAGTGGTTTGGTTGGCATCTGGTTAAGGTATCATGTGGGTTATAAATTCGGCCTCAAACTCAAATTGTTTCCAATTCACTTAGATTTGGGTAGAATTCTTTATTCTCAGGATAAAATCAAGCTCTGTAAAAATATACTTTATGATTTTGCTCAGCCTCTCCACTCCAACCTAGTAAGAAATCTCTCTTTATTTTTGCTATTTCTTTCCTTCCTGCTTCATTAAGCTCAATTACTTTCACTTTCTTTACGAAATAAGCTCAGTTAATGGTCTCAACCCTATTAACCATGAATACTTCATAATTATAATTTTTGTGAATCTGGTCGATCAAGCTACTCTGATCATCAGAGTCTTCTTCTTGGGAATAAAGGTATTCTGCTGCTCTGTCATCGCTCTGATGCCTCTTTAGCTCTCTTATGATATCTGTTTTACCCCAGAACGGTTGAATGACCATTTCGACCTTATCTAGGTTAACTCCTTTTGCTGTTTCATCTTGTCACAGATTTTCCTTTTTCACTTTGAATTTTATAATCTGCCCGAGATGGTTGAAATATGCTGGGGAAACATTTCCATCTAAAAATGACTCATTATATTCTTTACAGTCAGTCCATTTATAGTCTCATGGAATTGAGCCTATGAAATCGCAATTTCGGTAGGGTCTGGAGCTAAACTGTTTGTTGTAAGAGTTCTTTCTCTGAATTAGAGCTGGGGCTTGGTATGAGCTCCATTTCTTTAGGATTAGTTTTAGAGTCTCAGCTCCTTTCTTCTAGAGATATTTCTTGTGATCCACTCTCATGTTTCAATTTGTTCCTCCTTTTGCCTTCTTCTGTTGTAAAAATTAATTCATTGTTCTTCCTCAAAATCCTCACTTGGGCACCCCAAAAAGTCCTAAATTCCTAAATTGCAGTACGAATTTACTAAAAAAAACAGTTGACTTTCTCTTTTGGTGGCCAAGTGAGATAGTGGGGGCTAGACTTTGGCTTGAAATTTGGAGATTTTGTGCTTGAGAAATGGGGGTGGTAAGGAGTGGAGGGAGGGAATAGGAGGTGAGATAAGGGGGTGGGATAAGGTTTTTTTTGGGTTTTGGGGGTGTTTGTGGGAGGTTAAGGGGATTCTAGTTAAGATTTGGGATTTATATAAAATTTTGATGAAAATTAGGTAATTTGCAAATCTTCATCCTAATGATTAGGTATATCCTCTCTCCTTGAACTTCTCTCTTCCTGGTTGTTGGAGAAGTTCCTAGTGGTAATAATTTATTTTACTTTTATGCTATATTTCTAAAATCCTAACCTTAAAAGTTTAAGGGAACTTATTCATACACTGTTGCATTGACCCAATTTATTCCACTTAAAAACGAATTTTCTAGAATAATCTTCATAAATGTCCTTAGAACTAATTTTCAATACTTAAACCTCTTTTGGGGTTTTGGGGTTTTGGGGTTTTGGGGTTTTGGGGTTTTGGGG